ACGACCTCCATAGCCGAGTAGTTCGCACGCAAGTTTGGAGAAAGGGTGATATTATTGGTCTTGATTAGTATATTCCAAAAATATTTATACTCATCAAGACCTTTAATTTGATACTCATATTGTTAATATTAAAAATATAATTTTTTCATAATTTTAATAACATTATTCATCCACAATATTCACCTTAGCTCTGAGGTAGCTCGGTGGCGTAGTGGATAAGCGCCGCGGCCCGCATCGTTGCCGTTAAGCAACTTTCGCAAGGGTCGGTCACGGTATGGGTGACCAAAAATTATTATCTCGAGATACTTCGTGCTTCGGAAGGCACGTTAAGCCGTTGGTCCCGGCTGCATTTGTAGTCGTTAATACCCTCCAATTCGCATTGAGTCAGCGTGGAGGGTCATGGCCCATCCTCATTTACCATTCATAAGGAAGGCCTGAGCCCCTGCAGTGGGGACGTAAACAGGGATGATGATGATTCACTTTAGAGATAGCGATACCTTGAAATCGGCATGTGACCCACTCGGTGGCGGAGGTTGTCAAATTTATGTTATTGATTCAGACTGATTTTTAATGAGCATCATTTTGAAAAAAAATATTCGTGTAATCTTTAGGTACAGCATGCTCTTAACTATTTTACTCTAGGCATTTACTGATGTGTCAACAATAATTCATGAAACAGCAGAGCGATTCCGTAAAAATCCGAACCAGAATTCGAATTCACCTCGAATACGAATCCGCTTAACCTTAAATTGATATAAACGTTTCGTGGCATACGTGTAGTGACTTTCGAAATGACATAAGGATAGAATAACTGAGACGAGTATGAATGAATCGATATTATTTTTTATTTTATAAAAAAATGAAATCGAAATATTTTATACACTAATATAAATTAAACGGAAGTCGTTTTCGAAGTGAATTATGTCACTGAATTCTAATTCAGGTTTGGATTACAGAATCGCTCTGTTGATATTAAACAACAACAAATGTCATCTATGTCAGCTGTTAAATTCTTGTTATGTTTTAAATTCAATCTAGGGCAGTTTAATTTAAATAGAACCCTAATACGTTAGCATAGGGGTTTTTATTGAATAATTGTCTGATGTCGTCGTCGTGTTCAATGAAATCCACGGTGCATCAATAATGCACTCCGACATGTTACAGTCCCACGAGTTAATTTACGATGCAATCCTATCGTATTAAATATTTTGGTGACCGCGGTTTTTAAACGAGTCGCCATATCTGATGTCCTAGGTTCGCCCGACTATTATCATTATACTAGCTGTTTTTCGCAACTTTGCCTCCGTAAATAATAACCTATGTCAAACACGAATGATATAGCTTCCCGTTGATGAAAGAATTTTCAGGATTGTATTAGTATTTCCGAATATTACCTTATAAACAAAGTTAAAAACTTAATTTACTTAAAATATTGTAATATATAGGTATAAAAATGGAAACAACGAATAGTTTGTATGTTTCATTATTAAAAAAAAACCAATAACATCTGTTCTTAAGTACTGTTATAGAGAAAAACATGAGTTAGCTGTCACTGTCACTTTGACTTTGACGTATGATCCGTTCTCGCGCCAATATACTTCGGGGTTGTCATTATTGTAAAAAATATATCAATTGAATAGTAAAATGTGTCATTCAGTACAGATTATGCAGCGCGTGTTGCCCTTGCCATCCATGAAAAATGTCACAAGACAATAACGAGTCAGATTGAAGAAAAGCCTATATTTCTAATTTAATTTCTAAGGTGATGATAATCTTTGTAGTGATTATGAAAATTCTTTCCCCTACAGATGTTACAGGAAGGTGTTTCATAAGCAAGTAACAGGCTCCAATTTACGCGGGTAAATTAGTGGGAAAACAGCTGCAGGGGTCTTCAATAAAAATCTTAGAACTTTGAATGAAGCCACTCATATAATAATGATTGAATTTCACTTTAAGAATTATGATTTCATTTATTCTATATTTGTACTTTTATTCATGTATAAATAAAGTCGCTTCCCCTGTCTGTGCGCTGAAATTTTTAAAACAAAGCAATTGATTTTAATGCGATTTTCAAAAATATACAGAGCGATTCAAGAGGAAGATTCATTAACTTATCAATTTTAATGAATAACCTCCTTTTTTAAAGTCTGTTAAAAATTGGTTTGACGTTTATTAAGATGATAGGATCGATTACGAAGCTTTTATATTAAATTAGTGAATTAAAATGCTACAAACAGAGCGTGGAATCGGTCTTCATTTTGATTTATCCATAAGTTAATGTTTATGGCATCCAGTCTTATTTTATAGCGTTTAAATAGTTTTATAATAAGGCACTCTAAAACATGAGCTTACAGCTCTTTTTTCTTTGTACCGGGGAACATATGTGTGAGGTCCCATTTTATAACACGCAGGCCGCTTCATTGAGAATTATTAAGGATAGCACTTCAAAAAAATGATGGTTAATTTTATAGTTTTACATTGCGCAAGTATGATTTACCTAATTTTTTATTTATTTTTACCTACATATTTTACGATTTTCGATGATATATAAGGAATTTTTAATGAAGAACTTAATGTTACGATAGTTTAGCTTGTTTAGAATTGTTAGTGTAAAAAATTAAGCTTCGCTCATAAGGTATTTGTTTTGAATCCAAAGAATAATAATTGAAAGGAGCTCTTCACTCTAAGACATTGTTGCCGGCTGCATCTGTAGTCATTAATACCTACATACCAATCTGCACTGAGTTGCGTGGTCCGTGATCAAAGCCCATTATCTCTATCCGATTCCATTCGTAAGGCTTATGTCGCAGCAGGGGACATTAATAGTCATTGTCATTTATTTAGTACATATTTTTTTAAACAAAAGATATGCTTCTATTGTATATCCTCAGAAAAAATAGATTTTTAGGTCTTTGATTCATAAAAAAATAATGACAGTTCTTAAACATGCAGTTGTTAATTACGAATGGTGATTCATAAAAAAATCACCTTTCCCTGTTTTTGACAGCCCTAACGAAGGGTCGATTAATGGCGGCGGGCCCTCAAAGCAGGCGCGTGCCTTTATTTGTCATTTAATTGGTCAGTGTAATGTGAGGCCATTTGATTTTAACACCACAAACGCCATGTTGGTACTTGATGAATAATCGAAATACGTTTTTGGACAGGGCCGATTTTCTTTAACGACGTTGAAAAAAATATTTTAGTGTTATTTTTCAGCTGAGATTTTTGTTATATCTTACTAGCTGTAATCCGCAGCTTCACCCACATGGTCTGAAGGTGTTTTGTGAACACTGGCCTGCTATAGTGGAGTCTTAAACTAATCTTAATTAAAAAATTGTCTCCTCCTGCTGCAATTACTGCTGCGGTGAATTCTGCTGCAATTTTTACACAATTGGGAGGTTTCTTAAAGTGGTAATTTACCTTTTGATAACGAAATCAAATCAAATCAAAATTATTTATTAAGTCGAAGCTGTTACAAGCACTTGTGAAAGTCGAGAGCTACGCCATCGGTTCGTAAATCTACGGCGGGAAAACAACGAGAACGCCGGGACCAGCCCCACGTCGGGGTCTCCTACGAAATCCCCCCTCTTGAGGGCTGGGAAAAGATCACGGTACCTAACTGCCTTTTTCCGAACGGTGGACCGTCCCTGGGGCTAGTCCCACAGTGAGGCGGGTGGGGTGTTAGTTTTGTCTGCCGGTCTACAGAAGCAGGGGATGCGCTAATACGCGATCCTCGCCGCCTTGCCATCCTTGTGTGTGAAGAGCATTGCCGGTGCCAAGGTTGGTACTCACATAAAAATTGAAGATTATTTAAATCGACTGACTTATAAATCATAATTCTACAAGAAGGTAGTTTGAATCGAATCTTAACGAAGCGTGCGGGTGGGTTCAACTATTCCTAGTTAAAACTGTAATTAATCGTAACAGTGTTTATTCGGAAATATCTGCTAATGAGTACACCGAAATCATTTGTCATTAATTTCGCATGGCAACTTCCTGCGTTTTAGCCACACTAATCTTTGATAATATTGTAAACAGGAAAGGTTTTGGTTTTTTTTTTATTGCATTGAGTAGGCTTTGAAACTACTGGACTGATTTATAAAAAATAACTTTCACCTTCAGGATGCTAGCGACATCATACGCGGGTGACATAGGATTTAAATTACGTGGGCGAAAAAACAGCAAGATTATCTAAAAATATATATTTAATTAAGTAGTTATGAAAATTATTTCATGTCAAACGGTCGGTTTCTGAATTTAGAAAAGTACCAAATCTCAACTGATTAATCACACTAACTTAAGTTCGAGGCAAAAATCCTAGTATTATCAAATTGCTATCAACTGATCATTTAGAAAATTACAATTGGAAATGAAAACCTGTATCAGTGAATTTAGAGATGGTTTAAGTATTGTTTGAGACGACTTAACTTTAAATCCGGTTTCTGAATCGGATGATACACTAGCAATTACCTAATTAGAAGTTTCGGCATACCGACAATAAACAAATGTTTGTAAACAGGACAGTTAATGGATACTTTGATGGATATTACAAAATGCTGCCGGAATGTCATCAGTGTCATAATATTAAGGCTATATCCCGTCTTTAGTATCCTATAAACTTTGTTCGTATAAGACCTGTAAAATGTAACTTAAAGAATATTTTAATAAAAGCGATTCATATAGGTATTTAAATATGTATAATAATATATTAGTAGAGAAAATGAGCTCTCGTATGCATACTTATGTTATTAGCCTACCATTAAACTGGGTTAACCAACAAAACACTCTTTGTTAATGCAACCGGCTCAGTGGCAGCGCTAATAACTGCTATGCTAAGTGGTTAAATGGTTTCGCTAGATCGTAATGAAGTCGGCCGCGAGTGCGAACACCGACGAGCTGGCAACGTCGCGCCTCGCTTCACTGAAGCGAAGTTGCCGCCGCTCGACTTGTGTCGCGTCGCACCGCTCTCTCCCCGCGCGATCTTCTTTGCAGTCTCGTCAGAGCAATCCGAGAGTGCGCGTGAAACTCGTGACACCGCGTAATAACAATGGATTCAGCGAACAACTCTTCCGATATGCCTCCTTGTTTTCCTAAAATAGAAATGGACGCCGAGAGTGATCGTGAAAATAAGCGGGACAACAAAATGAACTGGACATCTGAAAACACAAGGAAACTAATAGAAGTCTTAGAGAAAGATTGTAAGGAACTGTGGGATTCAAAACATCCTTTGCATAGGGATCGTTGGGCACGTCAAACAAAGAATGAGTATTTGGCCAATATATTTGGGACTACTCCTGAAGAAATAAGTAGAAAGATACACAACTTAAGGACACAGCTGAATAATGAATTGAGGAAAATTAAGCGGCGGCAATCAGGGGGTGGGGAAGGGTCGGGCTCTGGGGGTAGTGGATGGGAGTATTTTGACGCCCTCTCTTTTCTATTGCGTTCGTCGGGCGATTCCAAAGACTTCTTTTGCACTATGGGCGAGCCAGTTGAAGGAATAGAAGGTGTAAATCTTGAGGTGCGTATATGTAGTGTAATCACTAAAATTAGAAATAAAATAGAATTGGAAAGACCAATATGAATTAAAATATTTTTGCGTTATGTGCTACTACCCTCTAAAAAATTAATAGATTCGAGTACCTTCATCTCTTCATTTTAATAAATAGGAGAAAACTACTTCATAATTTAATAATATATCTATAAACATAACATGAGTGTTGTATTATTATTGTTGTAGATGCGCTGATACATCCTGCTGTTATTGACTTATCTAGCATGTTTTCTCTCTTTCATATCTAGTATCCGCATTATGTATAAACGAGGTCTAACTCGTTTGAATTTGCCACTAGAGGCCTTAGTGTAGAGAAAAGTTTTCAAAATATCAAATATCATACAGAAATCATACTTTGTCGGTGGTGGGTCAATGAATGTCAGTGCTTGAAAATCGTAGCTAAGAAAAGAGGTGCAAATTTGATCAGGTTGAAAAAACGGTTAGTGTTTATTGGGTATTTCAATATTTTTAACACATTAGTCGATTTTTAACACATAACTTTGATAGGACTAAAAGTGAGTGAGTGAGAAAAAAACTATAGCTATCATAGTTATCACGCAAGTGATGTCCATAATAATATCGACTTTTATTTTACACCGAAATTTAATATAATGGCGTAGAATTTGATGAAGAACTTGAATTTGAGTTGCATTATTTACAATGAAAATTAAAATAAAAATATCAAAAAATGTTAATTGATAAAATAATTGTAAGTTAAACGTCAAAATAGTTGGGTATATCCTGCATAGTATATATTGTACTGCATACTTAAATTGTCTATTATCAGGGAAAAAATTGGGGGCAGTAAATGAGACTGTAGTATTATCTTGCAAACAATACTCGTAGTGGAAGTATAGTGTTAGGTTGCTTTATTTTAGTTTTTAGTTCGTCTTCATTTTATACTTTTATTTTCTTACAGCTTGCGGAGTTTTAAATAGAAGAGGAAGACAAATTTAGAAAATATTACTCTAACCATTGAAACCCCTTCATACGGGTGGCTATTTTATTACTATATGTATTTTGTAGATAGCATGTTGGGTTGATTAGACAATTTCATTTGTTCTGTAATATCTCTTGGTTTTGGTAAGAAAAATCGGGAATAATATCATAGGTTTCAAGAAGATTCAAATTAATAACAACAAGAGATTCAAGTAGTTTTTCTTCATCCACAGTTAGCGGAATTCCAAGCGAATGAAGAGGAAGAATTTGGTATAGCAGCAAGGGCTCGTTCTTTAATATGCAAAAGCCCTCCGAATAGAACAAGTCTGAGGGTGGCTGCTTCAGCACCACCCCCTGTGCCTCTTAGTGCACATCCCATGATGTGGCACGAGGACGCTGTTCCTAAACTGAGACCAGGCTATAACGCTGATGAATGTCAGGTGAGTACTACAGAAATATTCTGAGAAAAAGAACTCGGTGACAACTATAGCTTTATGTCCAACAGGGAGAAAAAAGTCTTTTCTGGTAATAAAGTCTCACTCCATTTCGTGAATCGAAGGCTTTCAACTTTCACAAATGCTTGTAACTGCTTAGACTGAATAACGATATTGAATTTTGCTACAGATGTTACATTCTGTGCTAGTGAATACGACAGCAGAGAAGTCAATATACACAATCATAGATTACATTTTGGAACTGATCAAAATGAATACTTACTTGCAGAACTTCAATCATCCGAAGTTAGAATAGAAGTGTATGTAAACTAAGAAAATAACATCTAAAAATACCTAAAAGTATATTTACTTGTTTTCCTTTTATTAGTGTCAATTTACCTCAGTAGAGTGCAAACTTCTTTTATAACTGAAAAATTATGAAAATTATGATCAAAAAGAAATTATTTATATAATGACATTTGCTCTGTTTGTAGATATTTGGTGACTTCGTAGCATCTGAGCTTCGAATGCTTCGTTCTGACGAATCACGGAAAAGATTAAAGCGGGTGATACAAAAGGCAATACTTCAGATAGGCGAAGAGGAAGACATGAAAGGTATAACCGGATAGCAGCTGAAACTATATATTTCTGACTCATTTAAAACTTATTAATTGAGGCAGGAGTATATTGCATCACATATTTGACGAGCTTTTGTACGTGAGCTCTAGCTAATAACGAATTTTATATACTCATCAGTTTTGGGTTTATATTATTTTCTACTATAGCGAATAATAATAATAGTATACTCGAACGATTGCAATTCGTAACACCTGTTGATATCCCAGGACAAAGAGCTCGAGAACGTGAGATTTTTTTGGCTCTGAACTCTGGACATATTGCTACGTTGTTATCAAACATCATGGCGGAAAGAAATGGCATATTTATACCTAGGACACTGTACAAAATGCGACTTGGACAATTCCCGGACGGTCTCCAAACGCAACTCTGGAGAAGTTTGCGTGGATGGCAGTCCTATATAGATTGGTCCTAGAACTTGTCGTAGATTTTGTAATGTTTTCTAATTAAATGAAATTTTAATTAAGTCACAGCGTATAAATATTGTTCATTCATCGAAATTTGTCTGCCGTTTCGTTTATCAGTATGTTTTGATACCCGCGCTGTTCGTGTTTCGTGCGACAGAGACAATGGTAGATAAGTCTAATTGTCTTATTTCGAAATATATCGCAATCTTTTTCACTTTAGAAAGATATCAACTAACTTAACGCAACAACTATTTAACATGTGCTAGCTATTGCGACCGCGGCGTTTTTTTTTAAGATATTGAACGAACGTTATCTTTAATTTTACTATTAATTGAAATTGTCTAAGGCAAGAATTAGACGTTAAAATGTCAAGTTTTTATTATGTTTCTCGATCATTAAAATCATTCTTCGTTCCGAAAGCTGTTACGATTTTAAACGCGTTACCTACGTTATTCTATAAATTGCAATCATAATAACTTTAAAAGAGATTGCAATACATTTTGAAATTAGACAATTTATCCGCTGTTTCTGAAGATCGATGTGAAGTATTTATTATCGTATCTAATTAATAATCGATAAGGATTTCGAAATAGTATACCATAGAATTGGCTAGGTTGTTGCTGTTGTGCAGTGTAATAATGTTTTTTATCTGATTGTTTAATAAGTAATGTGCACTAATTTGTTATGGAAACATTTAATAGATAAAAATAATATTTTTATACAATTTTAGTAGTAGAAGGTTTTTAATTGAATGAATGTAATTATATAAAAATATGGATACATAATGGACAAAGTAATAAACTTGTTTACACTCGCTGAATCTGACGGCAGATTACTTAGATTCAATAAAGGATTGAGTACAATTATAAAAATAGGTAATATTTTTAGAGCCTGAAGAACTATTTTTGAATAACTCGTTAAAATATCGCAACATACGATATAAATTATACACTTGAGTCATGTTAAACGATGCTGATTTTCTGCGTATATGTAAGGAGGTAAAATTCAATATTGTTCCTAATTTAGAAACCAGTGGTCTACTTTCAAAACCGTTTTGTAGAATATCGAATCAGTGAAATATATTCATATTTTATTATTGAACAAAGTTTACAAAGTAATTAGTGAGTATTAATGCAGTCTAATTGGTGAATTTAAAGAATAAATTCTCAGAGGACCTCGTAAAAGTGCCGACGATTTCATATAAAACGTTTTAGCGGGTTTTGAGAGTATTCAAACTAATGACTATAAGTAACCAGAGAATAAAAATGTATATTTTTATAGTGTTGTATGCGTAAATAAACGCTCATTGCAAGACGAATTCAGAAATAAGCACCAGGGTCTTTAATATTTTTGATATGATGTGTAAAGTGGTTGGTATATGGGTTCCACTATGTCATTGTCACTATTCTAAAATCCAAAAATGTATTTGGATTCCGCATTTTTTTATTTAAGATAAAAATGAATTGTTGTCATGTCTAGGTCTTGCGGTAACTTTGTTATTTCATTTAACATTAGAGCTTTAAACTACATCTTGAGGTTCTAGTAATATTAGTGATTAATATTTGTAGTTATGAGAGTTATATTCTTAATATTATATTAATCGATATCATTTATTTTGAGAATACATTCCTTATGTAACTATTTTAATCCAGTGTTAATTGCAATAAAAATATTAATAGTAATTAAAACAATTGTTTAACAATATAATTACAATTACTGTGTTATATGATAATCGTTTAGGTAAAAATGTAATAAATCAATTTTAACAAGAACTTTTTATTTTATTTATTTTACTTAACATTTAGTTATTAGAGTAGGACACCTCAGTTCAACGATTTTACATCACATAAGATAGAGGATTTATTAAGAATTTTCTCAAATACACACAGCAACGCATCAATTTCGAGAAAAAAGGCCAAAAGCATTATTTTTTTTTAATGCAACATCAACATCTTAAAGCTTATTGCACTAATAAGTATTTTTGAAGTAATCTGATGTACTGTCGAATACACTTAACCAAGGAATGCAATACGAATTCGGCTGGACTTACATAATAAGTGGGAACGAATGTTGATTTGATTGATCTAGAAACACAGGTAATAAAAACGTAGTTGAACCCGTCGAAGACTACAGTTAGTTTAACTATTTTGTTTGACTTTACTCAATAATATTTATCGCTTTGCTTAGACAATTCCAAATTGATGCCAAATTAAAGATATCATTCATTCAAAATCTTTCTTAAAATGTCGCAATTGCTATCGTATGAGAAATAGTTGTAGTGTGAAGTTCGTGAATATCTTTCAAATGCCTAATTGAAAGTTATTCCGACAGATTTTAAAATTGTAAAATTACACCTACAAGCCTTAGAACTTAAGGTTTCGTTTTAGTTTCACCTATTAACGAACTTTCAAATTGAAACGATATTAATTTCACTATGAATAAGTTTAAGAACGAAATTTAATTGAATTTCTCTTACATAAAATCACGAATTAAAAGTCAACTTAAAACTTTAACAAAAAAACAGTGTCAACATTTATTTATAATTTCTAAATAGATTTTTACCTTAGGTGATGCTAATTGAAGCTCCGCATATAGGTACTAAAGCTCTTTCATTGTATATATAATAGTGTTATTTATATAGAACAAAAAAGTACAAATATAAAAACAATAATTAGTGGTCACGATTACATTGTTCGATATACACTCGGCTGTACGTTAGACTACACTTTGCACCGATCGCGCTTCGTATAGAACTTCCCTACAAACAGAGGTCTGCTTACGGCGGTAGTGTTTACCGTGATGTGCAGCCGTGCGTACATGTGAAAGATATCCCCTTATATACAATTATGACGCTGTTTCTTTTTGAAATCTTTTATAAAGTTATATTGATATTAATGTTAAAAAAGGTAAGTACCAGCCAAAAGGGGTCTGAGATGAAAAAATACGTAGGTAATCTATATTAGTTTGTTTTTTTTTTTCTTTTTTACCAGTCCCTATTTCATTAATCCTCGCCGCTCTGTATTCACACACTAAATAATCTATTCATCTTATTATACGAGGGCGGTCTGATAAGTACCTAGCCTACAAAAGAAAAACGAAAATTTTGGAAAAGTGGCGATTTATTTCTCAACATAGTCTCCATTTACCTCGATACACATGACCCAGCGATGCTCCAACTTTTTTAACCCGTCCGCAAAATAAGTTTTCTCGAGGTCTGCAAAGTAGGTTTCCGTGGCAGCGATGACCTTCTCATTCGACTCAAATTTCTGACCGGCGAGTGACTTTTTCAAGTTTGGAAATAAAAAGAAGTCGCACGGGGCCAAATTGGGAGAATACGGTGGATGAGGCAGGAGTTCGTAGCCCAATTCGACCAATTTGGCCGTGGCGATGGCGGAGGTGTGAGTGGTGCGTTATCTATCATGTTGGAAAAGCACTTTTTTCTTTGCCAAGTGGGGCCGTTTTTTCTTGTATATATATATTTATAATATTATTATATATATTTATGACCAGAAAAATTACAAAAAATATAACAATCGTTAATTTGCCAAACTGCGTATCAGTTTATCGGCAATAAATCCTACGTTCTTAACAAAATTAGGTAGGTAATAAAGTAGGCTTTTTTTAATATTTTTTAATAGATTGTTTCGACTTAGGCACTTCTGCAGGTAAATTAATTTTATTGAATATTCTGGGTGTTAAGTAAGACCTTGTTCTTTGTAAATAATAGTTTCCTGTTCTTGGCTTTTTATACATTTTTTCTTGTATTATAAATATATGTTCTATATGTTTTATACACATTAATATCGTAATACACTGTGCTATTTTTTTTGTACAAAACCAGTTGAAAGATTGTGATTTTGAAATGGCATACCTATTCAATGTTTTATTTGAAACATCTCTTCTTCTTCTGCTTTTATTAATGACTTATCTGTGCATTTCGCAAAATTCTGCCAATGTCAAGTGAATAAATAAATTTATACATGTAAAATGAAAATGAAATTAATGAAAGATGGTGATGATCATTGAAACATCTCTGACATCTAACCATTGACGTTTAGATTTCACCGTCAAAAGAGCACGGTGCCGTTAGTTTATTCGAATCGCACATAGCAATCGTTTGCAGTGCTTGAACACGAATCTAAAGGGCTCCCTTCGAAAATTTTATCTAGTTAAAGTAATTTGTTTCGATTCATATATTTTTAACGCTTAAAAGTCTTATTAAAATGTGACATGACTGTTTAGATGTCACCGCCAAAAGAGCATGGTGTCATTATTGTGTTCACATCGCACATAGCAATCATTTCCAGTGCATGAACACGAATCTAATGGGTGCACTCCGTCATTTTTTCTAATTACTTAAAGCAATTTGCCTTTTGATTTCTCCATAAGATAACCTTAAGATAATTGCATGTAGATTTTATGTTATTTTCACTTAAGGTAGGTTTTTTCATTTCCGAAGTTAGACAAATGGATAAAAAAAAATCTAAATCATCAATTATTGCTTTAACGCTTTTACTTGGATGAAATTCATAGAGATATAACGGATAGGTGTAAATTATTGACTACACAATTGAAGTAAACATTTATGGTAATTGTTGTTATAACTCGAACGTATTAACATGAAACCTGAAGGCATTTTCTATTATTTGTTTTTGAATGTAAATTCGAAAAATGTTGTATTGGTCTTATAATTTTGATAGAATTATATCCGTGAAGTTTATTTCTGCATGAGAGATAATGTCAGGTCCTACGTCCGTTGCATTAAGTATTATCGAAAAATGCGTTTCTTTGGAAATTTTAACATTTCTAATTTATTAGCGAAATTTCGTTTGCTAAGAAATAGAATAGGTTTTCAAGTGTCATGTTAATTAGTACGAGTAGTATGGACAAATACTTATAGCCAGATACAGTTTGGCACGCCCCGCGACTATTTAATGTTCGTGTTCCAGTTTAAATTAATGAGTAAATTATTGCTAGAATAAAACCTGTCAGAAATAAGCAAGTTTAA